AGAGAAGAGAGGGAAGATCCTGCTGTGTACAGGGGCTCCGCCTGGTCTCACCGCATTTCGCAGAGGGAGCGCGATGTGTGCGCATCACCTGCGAACGTTCGCTCAGGCCCGGCGGGGAGCGGAGGCCAGCACTTCTACTGCGCTTTTTCTGCTCTCACTCAAGTTTTCTTTCATCTTTGAACTGGTGATTTCTTTGTCCATCTTTGCTCTCCTCTGTCTTTTTCCATCACCTTGAATTTCCCTTCGCCACCCCCAGGTTCCTAAGCACGCTTGGGATCCCATACTGTAAAATTGGAGTCCTCGCTGTCCCACCCTGGCACGACCATCAAGTTTGACCCGCATATGTTTACCAACTCGCGTCTGGGTATAGCTATCTTTCTGCACCTCTGCTGATTTTGGCTCAGCCAGTACCTCTGCCGTCTTCAACTTCTACTGGTTGGCGTGGCCTACCACTACAGTTTCCCTTTATGAACATTTCAGTGGTGTGAAATGTTAATACTGTGTAACATTCACTACACACCTGAAAGTGCGTTATTTGCGTCGTTTGATCATATGTCTGCCTACTCTTTCTATTTTTTTTTCCCCTACCACAACAATAGCAATGCTGTCTTCCAGCATACTGGCGGCTGTTCTCATCTTTAGATAGGATCCACGTGCAGGATCGGCGTTTTTGGCTAGTGTTTACCACCACGCGCCACTCCTCCAGGGCTGCCAGGCCTATCCGAGCGGGAGCAGCAGGTGCGGGCCGGCTTGGGCTGGAGACGGGCCTGGGCTGCGGCTTCCCTCCTCGAATCCTTCATATCCCCACGAGCACACGGTCACTGTCACCCGAGGACATTAGATAACGGCCTAGGGCGGCCCCCGCTCGGACAAGAGCAGGCTGCAGTTTGGTACTCGCCTGTCGCACCCGCTTGCCACACTCCGCATGGTCACGGGTGAAGTGAAGCCCCTGCCTGCCGACTAGCACCTGCTGCTGTTGCCCGCATGCCCCCCCCCCGGAAAGTCCGGTGGAATTCTCTCCTGGACTGCCGCGCGAGACCGAGACCCGGAAGATGACAGCTTGGAAGGAGGGGTGGTGTCCATGGCATCCGGGTCAAATGCCGGGCGTGGACGACGGTGCTGCGACGGCCCTGCCCACCAGAGTGGGGCGCTGAGGAAGCCGTGGTGGGGAGGCTCCAGAAGAAGGGGCCCTGGGAAAAGGGGCTCTCACCTGCTGCCAGCAGGGCTCCCGAATGTGGGCTGACGGGTGGGGTGGCGGCCCAGGGAGCGGGTTACGGGACTCCTGGTCTTTGCAGGGGTGGGGGGATAGATCACATTAGGGTTGGGAGAGGTGACAAATATGAGCTGCAGAGGGGGAGTTGGTATCCCTTCAGTGACCTCAGGGTCTAAAAGAGGTTGCTGGGTCACCATGGCAGGATGGGCTGCCTTGGATGGTTGACTTGGCGCGCTGCCGGGAGAAGATGAATGCCACCGGTTGAGCAAAGTAAAGGGTTCCTGGAGGGGGGACTCAAGGCACCCAGAGGGGAAGGAAGAGTTAAGCATGAGGTAATGAAGAACGAGATGGGAGGCGAATGGAGAGGGGACGGTAAGGAAAGGGAAGCAATGGGGCTAGAAGAGGAGGAAGGGGTGGATGTAACATGGGACGGACTAAAAAGGTGAAGGAAGGAGGAGGAGGGGCAAGCGGATGTAAACAGGGAGGACGGCGATGGAGAGAGAAGAGGAGAGGGAGGATGGAAAGGAAGGCGGAAAGTGGAAGGAAGGAAGAGGGAGGGAAAAGGAGGCGGGAGGGGCTTGGGGAGGGAGGGAGGAGGTTTGGGGAGGGAGGGAGGAGGAGGGTTGGGGAGGGAAGGAGGAGGAGGGTTGGGGAGGGAAGGAGGAGGTTTGGGGAGGGAGGGAGGAGGAGGTTTGGGGAAGGAGGGAGGAGGAGGCTTGGGGAGGGAGGGAGGAGGAGGGGAATCCACACTCATAGGGGTTGGGGACTCAGTTCTGCAGTGGGGCAGCATCAAGGAGAAGGGTAGGGGGCCAGGAGGTGCGGGCAGGTGGGGAGGAAGAGGGTTGGGGAGGGAAGAGGGAGGAGGGTTGGGGAGGGAAGGAGGTGGTTTGGGGAGGGAAGGAGGAGGAGGGTTGGGGAGGGAAGGAGGAGGGTTGGGGAGGGAAGGAGGAGGAGGGGAGTCCACACTCATGGGGGTTGGGGACTCAGTTCTGCAGCGGGGTGGCATGGAGGAGAAGGGCAGGGGAGAAATGGGAGGCGCCGTGGGGAAGCCTGGGGTGGCAGGACCCCCGCTCCCCTCAGGTGGGTTCCCCACAGCGCCACCGGCCCTGAGGGGAGGAGGAAGGTCAGCAGGAACGGGAGGAGGGCAGCGAGGGGTTGTGAGTATGGTGGAGGAAGGTGGAAGGACAGGGACCATCAGAGGTCCAGCAGCCAAGTCGGGGGCGGGGACGGGAACTGGGACACGGAAAGGGTGGGGAGCGGCGGGGGGCTGGGAGCGGGCCATGCGAGCAGCAGGCGGGGTGAGCTCAGGGGCAGGCCAGGCGGCCCCGCAGCTTCCCCGGGCCTCAGTCTTCTCCCCCAAGGCCTCTGCTTCGTCCAGCACGGTGTTGGTGTTTCTTTGATCCCGAATGCCCTCCGCCAAGGCGCCTCGGTCTTGCTCCGCAGCTATGCCAGGAAGCTTCGCAGGTGGGGGCAGCTCGCCTCGGTCCCAGGACAGCGGCAGCAGCACAGGCGGGGGCAGCGGCAGCAGCAGTGGCATGGGCAGTGTCCTCTTGAGGGGCCTCTTCCTGGTGGCTCTGCGTGGAGAAGAGCTGCGAGTCTTTTCAGCCTGCGATGCTGACGCGGGCGCCTGCAGCGAGCCTGCAGGGCCGGGCCTCGGTGGCTCCGGGGCGTCCCCACCACCGGGAGCGACCCTCTTCCTGTCCAGGCCGCGGGTCTCCACGAGGTCCTCTGCGGCCTTCTGCGCGGACTCCTGCTCGTCCTCCTGCTCCTCCCCCTCTGCTGTCGCCTGGGCCCGCGCCTCCTTCTCCTGGCCAGGCGCGGGGAGGTGTCTGGAGGTCATAGGCCTCGCAGCCCTGACCCCCGGCTCGGGCGGTGCAGGCAGGAGGGTCACCTTGCGTGGCCGGAGAGGAGGGATCCTGACGGTTCTGGAGCGTCCGGCCATCAAGGTGGCAAGAGACAGCACGGGCTTCTTTGGGGCCTCCCCCCAAGCCGTGCTGGGAAGGATGCCCAGGGGGGAGCTCGTACCCTGCGGGAGAGGAGCCCTCCTCCTAGGGGCAATGAAGAAGCCCCCAGATAAAGGCCCGCGACCCATACTGGAGGTGGACATCCTCCGCACAGGGCGTGAGGCGGGCGCAGGAGCCGCGGAGTGGGCGCGGACCGGCGCGGTAACATCGCGGGCCACAGGGAAGGGGGGACGACGGCCCGGCTGGGGCCGCCGGAGGTCCGGGAGGCTTGGCTTGCTAAGCCAGCTGCCCATTTCGGGCAAATTGTGCACAATGAAGTTCCAAAGAGAAGAAGACTTGGAGAGATCTCTCCTAGCGTCTACCTCTCCTGGAGACAGAGCATGCACTGGTTAGCAGGGCGCTTGTGACGTCCCAATGGAACTGGCGACAGAGAAAGGGCGCGCCATGGCGAACGTGGGGGGCGAGCGCGCGGGGGTGGGGGGTGGGGGGGCAGCCGAGGGCGCGGAGAAAAGGCGCCAAAGGGCAAAGGGCAACTCCTGCTGCTGGCGGCAGGTGCTTGGCACGCGATGGGCCACTGTGTGCAGACCGTTGGGAACTGTGGCGGCGCCGTCGGCCAGAGCCCTTGCCACCTGGGCACGGGCTCTGCAGGCTCCAGGGCACCTGGGCCAGGGCCTGGCGCGGGCTGCGTGTGGCTGTGTCGCCGTCCCCCCACACCAGTCACAGGCGGTGGCAGAGCCTGCTGGAGGCCAAGCCCAGAGACAAACCCCATCCTGCCAGGCTCCTCCGGGGACCTCTCCACTCCTCTGCGCCGCCACAAGGATGGCCAGCCCAGCTGCTAGGGTTTCTGAGAAGGGACACGGTGCCCACACCGGACTGGATGCTGCACCCTATGACATCCCTTCCCGGCAGGCAGGTTCCGCTCACTTCCTTTTACAAATTGGGTAAAACGATCGTTCAGCCCTAGAGCATTCCCCAGGTCACGCAGGTGGGAGTGGCCCGGCCAGGCCTTGAACCCAGCCTGCGTGGTTCTAGAGCGGTGCCTCCCGGGCACGTACACTTCATATATTACCTTTTTTTTTTTTCCCTGTAGTTTTTAGGGAACTTATGACCATGGCAGAGCTGTACCAACCACATGCACACCTAGGAGGAGGTCTTGTCTTCAACTCAACTCGAGTTGACCACGGCCCACACTGGGCTCCAGTCTCCTCAGAAGATGTAGAGCAGGTCCGCCAACTGTCAACACGGCCTCAGCCCACATTTCTCTTCTCATGAAGCCTTGCACCCCAGATTTTCCTTTTGGTCTGGCTTGAAGGATCAAACTATGTAAGGATTATTGTCTACATCAATTTTGGTCTATCCTGAAAGAAATTCACCTGTGGCTTATTCCATCTGGCTAAGAAGCCAGTTTCTGTGGCCTTCCTGGAATTTGTCTAGAAAGCAAATGTATTTATTTACAGGTTAATAGTTGAGCGCTGTATTGGATGCAAACAGGGTCAACACAATTGGAACATCATGATCGTGCCAGCAGGGTCCACTCTTCACCACACATTATGGTCACCTAAACATAACTCTAGATATTCTTGTGCCCAAGAGAGGAGACATAATTTTGGGTGTCAGGATAAAGGAAACATGAATCATTGTCCTAGAAGCTGGAAGCTTCAGGATGACAAGAAACATTAGAAAATCCTGCAGGTGACTTTATCTAGTTTTTATCTTGTTTCTTTGGCATATTTCATTGGAATATATTTCTCATTTATGGGGCTGATGATGTGTTTCAGACATACGACATGCAGAAGTTCCAGAATCAAGAATCAGATATCAGTAAAACTGTTTTTATACATTTTTTAAATTTTATAAAGATCTGTTTAAACAACTTTGGGCATGATTGATATATTACCAAATTGGTTTTAGCCCTTTGCTCATAAGATTCCTTTCATAGTGTATCTCCCTGCCTGTGCTCTGATGCCATTTGATTTTTCCTTCTCACACACAGGAATGATTCTAAAATCTACATATAATCTTGTTGTCTTTTTGCTTATGATCCTTTCATGACTTGTCACACTTCCAGGAAAATGGAGCAATGCCCCAATGCCTCATCATGGCAGGTAAGTTTGTCCCCATTCAGCCATCCCTTGTCATACGGTACAGGTGCAGCTCCCAGTTTGGCTTCACTCTTCATCCACATCAGGCCACCTTTCTGGTGTCCCACTGGTCTTCTCCCTTCCCTAACCTTTTGAAAGCTATTGATTTTACCAGAAAATAGTCCTTCTCCACTTGTGACTGCCCCCTTCCCCCCATTGAAGGTGCAGTTTCATTCCCCATTCATTCCCCATTCATGTTTCATTCCCCCAGAAATAATATCTTCTTACCTGCCCCTATATCTCAGTGCTTTCCCAGCCATTTGGATTTTTGGTCCAGCCCTCTGTCTTCCCCACTACACTGTAAATTTGTCTGGGACAAAAGATGTCTTTTAGTTCTATTTCTCTACAGCCTACCACAGAGTTTAATGTAGACTTATCATTGAACAAATGTTTAATGGAATTACTTAGAAGCTGAGGGAAATGTTTATTCTTTTCTCTTTTTCCCATCTTCAGATATTAGTAGTTTCCCTGGGTTGTAAAATGCCTTAGAAAATACTGTATTTTCAGCAATTAAGCAAAGACCCAATAGAAGAACTCTAGGTTAGCCAAAAATGGGTATATTTAGAACTTTCGTGATATGATTTCTTATTGGTTTACACTAGAGCTAGCCTAGTTATTAAAGAGAATCATTTTTGAGCAGTGTGATAAATTCTAAATATACTTAAATTTTCAATAATGGCAGAACAGACAGGAGTTCTTCCTTTCTTTGCTCTTCTAGATGCAAGAGGCTGGATGCCAATCCTAGCCTCCCCGAGTGACTTGGGAATGTGTGAAGATGACCGGCCTAAGCTTACGTTATAGAAAAAGACACACTTAAACATTTATAAATACTAATACTAAAATCAGAAAGTGTGTTTCCTGGGAGGAGGGGCAGAGATGGAGGGCTGGAAGCAGACTGCACACGCTGCTTTCACGGAGAAGATGGAAAGTGTTCAGGGGATATTCACTTTCAGATTGAGGATCTGAAAGAGAACGTTGGGAATCAATAGAAAGGTGACTGGAGGCTCCCAAAGGGAATGGGAGGGAAGGGATGCAGCCCGCTCTGTGGGGTCAGAGGCACACAGGGATGGTATCTGCGTGTGGAGAAGGGACAGAGGAGGCACCCTCGGCTTCACCCTCTCCTGTGCACTCTGCAGTCTGAGCGGTGTGGGGGACCCTGTGCGTAGCAGGCTGCCGGACTGACAGAGAGAGTCATTGGAGACTGCACCGTGGCGTAGCTTTGGGGAGAAGTCACAGCAGGGCCCCACTAGCTGGCATGGCTGGCGCCATTTGGAGATCACGGACTCAGAGCGCTGTATCTATTAGGAGTCAGATCAGCCATTGCTAGTGCCTCCCCAGTGGCCCGCCAGGCCAGGGAGGGGGCAGAGAGGCCGGGTGCTCCTGCATGTCCCATGGGCAGGTGCCGTGTGTCCCCACCACTGATGGGGAACTTGGGTAGTATGAAAGATTGGGCCACCATGTGCTGGTCCCTGCTGTCACTGATGACCTTGGGTTGGGCAGTGCTGAAGCCACCATGGGCCAATGAACACTGCTGCCCACAGACCTGAGTGGGGCAGCACCAAGGTAGACATGAGCAATTACTATATTATATTGTTTCTATTTCCACATCACCTTTTCATCTATATTGTTTGTCTTTATAGTCACTTTCTCTTGTCTAGATTGCTCTGTGAAATGCCTAGTTAAACTCTTGTTCTCATTACTTCACCCTCTTCCCTTATTGTTTTCTAGTTACCTAATCCTCGGCTCAAGATTAATTCTTCTCATTTTATTTATTACCTATGTATATCTATCTCTCTATCTATCATCAATCATCAATCTGTTGATCTATTCATAAGGATACATTGTTAACACTCATTGATCCACCATCCAACCTGAAAATTAGAATTTTAATAATAGCCTATATCAACTAATTGTAGCCCCACTTTCATTCCCTTGAGTCTACTCTTATGAAAATCCCCTCATCTTCAACCTATGTTCATCTTCCCCTTGCTTTTGTTTTTTTTATTTTCTTTTTTTTTTTATTTTGGCATATTAGGGGGGTACAGATTTTAAGGTTTCAATAAATGCCCTTCCCCCCCCTACAAGTCTGAGTTTCCAGCATGACCATCTCCCAGATGGTGCACATCTCACTCATTATGTATGTGTATACCGCACCCCTCCCCCTCCCACCTGCCAATACCTATTACTGTAGTACCTATGTGTCCACTTAGGTGCTGCTCAGTTAATACCAGTTTGCTGGTGAGTATATGTGGTGCTTGTTTTTCCATTCATGGGATACTAAACTTAGTAGTATGGGTTCCAGTTCTAACCAGGAAAATATAAGATGTGCTATATCACCGTTGTTTCTAATAGCTGAATAGTACTCCATGGTATATATATACCACATTTTATTAATCCATTCTTGGATTGATGGGCACTTGGGCTGTTTCCACAGCCTTGCAATTATGAATTGTGCTGCTATAAACATTCGAGTGCAGGTGTCTTTTTTATAGAGTGTCATTGGATCATTTGAGTAGATGCCCAGAATTGGGATTGATGGATCAAATGGTAGATTCACTTGTATTGCTCTAAGGTATCTCCATATTGCTTTCCACAGAGGTTGAACTAGTTTGCAGTCCCACCAGCAGTGTAGGAGTGTTCCTCTCTCTTCGCATCCACACCAGCATTTGTTATTTGGAGACTTTTTGATAAAGGCCATTCTCTCTGGAGTTAAGTGATATCTCATTGTGGTTTTGATTTGCATTTCCCTGATGATTAGAGATGTTGAGCCATTTCTATTTTGTTGGCCATTCTTCTGTCTTCTTTAGAAAGTTTCTGTTCAAGTCCTTTGCCCACTTTTTAATAGGGTTATTTGATTTTTTCTTGCTGATTTTCGTGAGTTCTAAGTATATTCTAGTTATCAGCCCCTTATCAGATGCACAGGATGCAAAAATTTTCTCCCATTCTGTAGGTTGTCTGTTTACTTTCATGACTGTTTCTTTGGCTTGCAGAAGCTTTTTAGTTTGATCATGTCCCATTATTTATTTTGTTGCTGCTATGATTGCCTTTGGGGACTTCTTCATAAATCTTTGCCTAGGCCAATGTCCAGGAGAGTGTTTCCAACTTTTTCTCTAGAATTCTAATAGTTTCATACCTTAGGTTTAAGTCTGTTATCCAGCTGAGTTGATTTTTGTGAGAGGTGAAAGTGTGGGTCCTGTTTAGCCTTCTACAGGTGGCTATCCAGTTTTCCCAGCACCATTTATTGAAAAGGGATTCTTTTCCCCAGCATATGTTTTTGTCTGCTTTGTCAAGATTAAATGGCTATATGAGGATGGTTTTATATCAGGATTCTCAGATCTGTTCCACTGGTCAATATTCTATTTTTGTGCCAATACCAGATTGTTTTAATTACTACAGCTTTGTGTATAGTTTGATATCTGGCATATTAATACATCCATTTGTTTTTGTTGCTTAAATTGCTTGATATTCGGGTCTTCTTTGGTTCCATATGAGATAAAATTATTTTTTATATCTTGAAGAATGTTGAAGGGATTTTTTTTTTTTTTTGAGACAGAGTTCACTTTTTGTTGTCCAGGCTAGAGTGAGTGCTGTGGCGTCAGCCTAGTTCACGAGCAACTCAATCTCCTGGGCTCAAGGATTCTCCTGCCTCAGCTCCAATGTAGCTGGGACTACAGGCATGCACCACCATGCCGGCTAATTTTTTGTATATATATTTTTAGTTGGTCAATTAATTTCTTTCTATTTTTAGTAGAGACGGGGTCTCGCTCAGGATGGTTTCGAACTCCAACCTCGAGCACCCACCCGCCTCGGCCTCCCAGAGTGCTAGGATTACAGGCGTGAGCCACCGCGCCTGGCCATGTTGAAGGGATTTTAATAGGTATTGCATTGAATCTGTAGATCAGTTTGGGTAGTATAGACATTTTTTTTTTTTTTTTTTTTGAGACAGAGTCTCGCTTTGTTGCAGGCTAGAGTGAGTGCGTGGCGTCAGCCTAGCTCACACACTCAAACTCCTGGGCGCGTGATCCTCTGCTCAGCCTCTCCGAGTATGCGGGACAATAGGCATGCGCCATGCATGCCGCTAAATTTTTTAATATATATCTCAGTTGCCAATTAATTTTTCTAAAA